TATATATATATATATATATATATATATATATATATATATTCAGGTGAATGATTAATTAAATTGAACATGCACTTATGATCATTATTTCCCCATGCAAGACAAAACAACCATTAACTGAAACAGAAACAGCTTTTCAGGAGGTTTAAAACTTGATAACTCAGCAGCCGAGGTGAGGTTGTGGAAGTTTTCTGTGACAGGCCAGACCCCAGCAAGTCTGAGGCAGTTCTATTACATTAGACATGTTTACCAGGCAAAGAGTTTAAAGCAGGCCAGTGCTTCATGCATCACTATCAGGGAGACATCTAACTAGCCCCAAATTTATTCTGCAGCAGAACAGGAACTCCAAAGATGCATTCAGTGTGATTAAGCTCTGTCTTCAGTTCTTTACATCACAGACAGAAGGCTTTGAGCCAACAGCATGCACAGATGTCTGGAACAAACTTCCTGCAGGGTTCCTTCAAAAACTGAGCAATAGAGTCTAGAAGATCTGATGCTGTGCTAAAGACAACCATGGAATTAAATCAGTTTTGATCTACTGTAATTTCTGGACTAGTGAGTACACCCAAATATAAGCCATGCGCACTAAATTTAAACAGTAATAAAAAATGTGTACATATATAGGCTGCACTTGTGTATAAACCGTGAGTTCCATGTTGTAACTTGAGATATTTACACAGAAAGATGTATTAAATTGTTCATTAAATATGTACAGGTAACGTACACAAATACGTACAGTAAATGTTTTTTTGTTGTTTTTGTTTTGTAAACAGTGCTGGTAACACGGCTGGTAAAAATAAATACAGTAGCCTACCAAGAAGTCATTGATCATTATCTTCATCTTCCTCCTGTAGAGGTTTTTGTTTTAAACTGCTCCTCCGTCAGCATCCACTGACAGACTGGAGCAGAAGTTGATCTTTGCATGTCGCCAGTTTTGGCAAACGATTTCTCGCCACCAGTCATCCAAACCTCCCACTGAGCTTCAAGTGTCAATTTAATACAAGATTCACACTGATATCGAGTGGCTGTGAATAATTTGTTGTTCCCCCAGGGAGGGGCACAAGTTCCCCATCCCTGCTCACTACTCCACTCCTCGTTTCATCCGTCCACTGTGACCTGTTTGGTAATTTCATCAGCCAGATTTTTTTTTACCTTTATGTATACAGGTAGTCTCATTGAGTCACGAGGACCCCCGTCGTAAATCCACAAGTTAGTTACAGCATTGCATAAACCTCAGAGGTTCAAAGCGTGTGGACAAAGTAGCGACTTATAGTCCGGAAATTACAGTAATTTACATTTCTTTGCCATTCATTCATTTCTGTGTGTGTGGTGCAATTTATATCTAGATGATCCCCACTGAGTGTTCATCACAAGCAGAGGAGGCTGTTTTGTTCATGAGCTTTGGCAGGATTGAGCAGAAGACAGACTGATTGACTGAGCAGCACGAACATGAGTCTGTAATGAGCAGATGGGTATGAATGAATATAGCAGCATGAGATAATCAGCAGCATGAGATAATCAGCAGCATGAGATAATCAGCAGCATGAGATCAGCATTATGGATAATCGCACAGATAAGTCACGTATTACATATTATTTCCTTCCTGTCCTCTCAAACCCAGCCGGCCGAAACAGATGGCCGCACATCCTGAGCCTGGTTCTGCCGGAGGTTTCTTCCTGTTGAAAGAGAGTTTTTCCTTTCCACTGTTGCCTTTGTGCTTGCTCAGGATGGGAGACTGTGAAGAAGTGAAGATTCAACACAGTCTGCTGGCTTCTTAGACAGAAAACTTTTACTTACTGGCTTTTGTGTGTATGTGATTTTTTTTTTTTTTTTTTTTTTTTACAGTGCCCTGAGACAGCTTCTGTTATGATTTGGTGCTATCTAAATAAACTGAATTGAATTTGTCTGCTTCAACACATATCAAGACATAAAACATGTTCCACGGGGATTAAAAGGAACATTGCATATGCTGATTAGCAAGAAGTGTTAAAAATATCCTTGACTAAATTACAAAGTGAAATCATATTTCAAGATTTAAAATAATCAGAAGGTTAATTATCCTTTTGAGAAATAAACAAAATTTGAAAACGTTTTGGAAAATGTCTGAAACTGGTTTATGAGAAAGATTTCCAAACTAAACTCTGATTGGTAATCAACAATTGCTGGGGGATATAGTGGAGGCCACTTATTAGAGCACCTACTGATGTCAGTCAGGTTCAGAGTTTTAAAGTTCACAAAGCAGTGTTGAAGTCATTGAAATGACACCCAAAGTGTCAATTTAAAACAATCCATCATCATTTTTACACCAACACTCCACTGACTCTATGTCAACAGAACGTTGAAAGGGATTTGACTTTTCAATTTACAATTCACTCTACTCTCTTTAAAATATCAGTGATGCCACAAACACACAAACATTTTTCAGTTGTCTGTCTGTCTCTGACTTTCTGTGACTGTCTCTGTCTGCCTGTCTGTCTGTCTGCCTGCCTGCCTGTCTG